GGGCCTTCAGAGGGTCCCATGAAAGGTTTCTATGATGCAGCTGCAATTTTTCCTCCACAATGAGATCATTGCAACAGAGGGAAACTGCTGGTAAAGTCTTCAGGGAATATTCTCTGCATGAGAACCGTTCTCAACAGGAACCGTTTCAGACAACTGGGTAATGTATCCTGCTGCAAAAATGATCTTTCTAACTATGTTGGTTTGTCATCTAACAGGCTTTTATCTGAATGGTTGGGTCTTGTGGGCAATTCAACACCACAAATATTACTGCTGTAAGGGATTAAGACTGAGATGTTTTAACAATGAACAAATTGTGATGTTACAGGAGCCACATCAGAGGCGGCTCTCTTTTCCCAATGGAACTGCATGAAAAAAATCCACTTTGTACATACACTGGGCACAGGCATCTTCTTCATCAAGTCATCCAAGATTTTGTACATGTTCACTGACGTGGGATTGGCACTGGCTTCCTTGGAGAGCAAGTGCCGTGCTTCATCCATTCGGCCTTGCAGCACAAAGACGTCCACCTGCAAAAACCACCTGTCTGTGAGCACCACGCTGTGCAAGGCTACAAAATACCAAGGAAGAGTATCAGAGGGGAATTGTAACCTGTGATTTAGGCAAGTTAAGTGGAGCTAAAATGCTTAAACCATCGGCCCTGCTAACTCAAATACATGGTGTAAGTCTTGACCTCCATGGATCATGAAAGTGAAAGGATCAGGATGGGAATGAGGGGTAGGATGATCGTCAGAATGGCTTCATCTTAAAACCTATATAGGCAGGCAGCAGCGGTGTCCTAGGTGTCAGTTTGAGGTGTAGTCTAGTGGGCAGGAGGAAGGCAAAACACATCAGTGTGAATTCTCTTTGTTTAAGAATCTTATAGGTGGCTATACTCACCACGTTCCAGAAGAGCTCGTGTTTTGATGGATTTTCGCTGCTCAGAACTTCACGGACCATGTTGTCCACATCGCAGACATGAAGTCGAACCCAGTCAAGGAGGCGAAGCAGAAGGGGGCCAGCTTTATGCAGAGAAGATTTCATACTGTTAGTTCCAAGCTGTTTGTTCCCCAGCTGCTATTTTACATACTTCTAACCTTAATGGCTTGACAATCGTTAGATGAGGTTTACTGATTGGATTTCTGTCTGCCACACTCACACTAAAAAGGAAGAGTTTCTTTGTAGCAGCTACCTTAAGTAGCCAAACTGTGGGAGCACCAGGCTGCAGACAGATTTCCGTGTGGCAATTTTAGACAGAACAGCAGCAGAATGCAGCAGAAAACCCCAGCCAGTTATGTGAAGAAATAAAAGGTGAGTCATTCAGATCGTAAATCTTGCAATGCCAAAAGACATATAGAATGTTTCTGTTTAATTTAGCATCAATTACTTATTATTAACTGAATATGAGGAGGAAATCTGGCGCTAGGTGATTAACTTTTCTTCAGATTAAGTAATCTATAATTTTTGAATCTCTCTTCTGAATTCTGGGACCATGCAAGTAACATACTTGTTTGCATAATCTGATTTCCTTAAAAAAATATTTACTTCTTTAAAATGCTGACGTAAACAAACTGACTTCAGAAACAGCATCCTGAAGTTAAAGAAGCTGCATCAGAGAACACGTAAATGTTAGTTGGCATCAACATATTTGATGCTTAAAGATGTGTTTATGCTTAAAAGAAGGCAAATAAATTGGCAACAGCTTTTGATATCCCTCTTCTTCACTGCCCTTCTGCAAAAAAGACAATTTAATTGTAGTGTACTACACGAGGGGAAAAAGTAGAAGGCAAATCTAATAGTTTGACATAATTCAATACGAAGAAGGCAATTTATTGAGGCAGAAGAGGTATTAAAAGGCTTACTGACACTTGTCATACCTCTAAAACATGTTAAGATATGACACAATGGATGCTATGTACATTTTTTAAATAAATAAGCAAACAAAGCCCCTTCAGTCTAAACATCAGGGTAGTTCACTGCTCACCTGTAGCTGCTTCAACAAACAGAATCTCACACAGGTTCCAGATCAGCTCCATTGCAGAGAGAATAGAAACCTGAAAAAAGCAGGGCCAGGTTTCAGATTTAGCAATTATTCCAGTTAGGTGTGGGGGTTTTTTAACCACACAAAGGTATCTGCTGTCCATAGCAATTGGTCATTAAAGGTCGGCTCTTACAGACAGAGAAATGTCCTACTGATGTTCAGAGATACAAATGAAAAGAGGGCATCGGGCCTCGACTTGTCTACACGTGTTCAGCTCAGAAAATATCAAAGCTGTTTGTGTACTGAAATGTGATGATCATCTGTCATCAGTGGGAAATACAGAACGGCACAGGAAGTGTTATTTTCAGCCTGATTGCACTCCTCAGACTTAACATTACAAACAGCAAAGTAAGGAAGAAAGCAAGCCAATTAAGCAACGTCAGTGCATCTACTAGGACAAAACTACCGTGAGCAATCTGCTCTTCCCACAACGCTCTTCTACTGTCCGACAGCTCATGGTGAACATCTAGAGCTTGCTACAAGGCTCCGATGCAGTTTGTTGGAACCTGAGTGTTTGAGAGGTGACCTTTCAGACAGGTGAGTACTGGCCCACAGCTGGCTTTAAGATGACAAGAAAACAGCACACCTAGAACACTGAATACATGTTTAAGAAATGGCAGTGAATCCAGACATTGGGCGGCTTCTTACTGTTTTAGAAATAACGGAGCTAACTATTTACTTCACATTTATTCTTGGTTACAAACTGCACCCAATATCCTAAGCCAGAGTTAAATCTAAAGTGCCTTACTGCCACAGAAGTGTTGGCCTTGGTGAATTTACTAGCCAGTGGTTCATGTTCAGTTGTGACTACACGACACGGCTGCAGATTACCTGGGTGCTACACTGGCTGTGCAGGGCAGGGTCCCGGGTTGAAACTGAGGGAGGAATAAGGAAAGTCAACGAGCAATGTATTTACCTTTCACAGCCCTTTCTGGGCTCATGAATAAAGACGACAATACCTGATCACTCATCAAGCACAGACCTAAATGAGTACACACATGGCAAAGCTCACTTTTATATAAAACTTTGTACCTTTTTTTTTTTTTAAATTCCATGCAAATCTGGGTATGGCTACAGGGCAAGGATGGAAGGAAAGAGTAAAATCTCCAACTTTTGGGGGGGAGCAAGCTGTTAAGTTTGACTCAGTTTGCCACAAAACTGCAACCCAAGATATGAAAAGACTGCAAGTCCCTAGAACATTAGTTAAAACACAGTGGGGGAAAAAAAATCTCAGACCAGATTTACAAACCAACCTGGAAACCTCCTGGCTGGAAATGGAGTCCTGATAATTACTGAAATCTATGTGTGCTACAGTTGCAATAACTTACAATTGAAATGCTACTTTTATTATCACAAACAGCATTTCCTTTTATTGCAGTAGGAGAACAAACAAACTTACTAGCTGCCTGGTGCATGTCCTCCATACAGGCTCTTATCACCGATCGGTAGTTTTTACTCACTTGAACCAATCTGCCAAACACAAAAAGGCTGCAGTTAGAGCGCGCTGTTTTGAGCTTTAGTCGCATGCCTATTGCCCACTAAAGCCTTGCAAGGTGCTCTGCAGCAGAGGAGTATGCGGGTGAATCCATCGGGGGTCAGTGAGGCTGTGCACCGTGGGTGTACGCATGCTGGCTAGATGCAAGCAAAGGCGTTGGTCAGCACAGTTATTAGAAGGATCAGGGCCTTGCTTTGTAAAATTACCCTGACGCAGTCATTTTTTCTGCTCTGCTGCCGGTTACAGCAGCTGTAAGCAGCCTGGTCCATGGCACTGGCCTCGCTGGAGGCGTTTACAAGTCCGTGGCGCTGGAGAAGGAGCAGCGACCGCGGGTGCTTCCCAGCCTCCCGCGCCCCATTCACTCACTGCGCTTTCCTCGACTTCCCCGCCAGCTCCTCCTCGCTCCGCTGGAGGCCGAGGAAGATCCCGTGCGACTCGTTGAAGAGTTTCCGCAGGGTCTGGATGTAGATGTCCTGATCCTTGCGGACCACGAAGACGCGGGAGGAGCTCGGCCCTCCCTCCCCGGTGCCTGCAACACAGCCCCCGTCAGCGCCCCGGGCAGAGGCGCCCGGCCCGGCCCGCCCGAGCCCCGGCCCAAGGACCCACCTCT